CTCTCTCTCTCTCTCTCTCTCGTGTGTGTATCCTATCCCTTTTTTCTTTTCTGCTATTTTTCTGGGTTGAAAATTGCTACAGAGAGTTCATAAACCTTTTTGCCCCAAGAGCAGAACAAGTTAGTTAAAAGAAAGAAAAAAAGAAAGAAAATGGTAAAATGTACAGTGTCTCCATGGATGGGTTTTAAACCTTTTGAGACAGAAGCTCTGCTCGAACACGTGGAAAAGATTAAATGGAGTGAAGGACAGAAGTATCAGCCTGTGCTGACAGTTAAGAGCTGCAGAGATCAATTTACTTTCACTAAGATAATTCACAATTTACTTTTTGCCAAGGCAACCCCTCGAAAAACCTTGAAACTTGATCTTCTGAAGTCTCAAACCCATGAGATAATGTAGAACTTGTCTTTCACACACACACACACACACACACACACACACACACACACACACACACACACACACACACAGAGGTTTCAGTCTTCCAACCACAAAATGGGAAAGTGCAGCTTTTTGGACCTGTAATGGAAAAGATACTTTGAGTCTAGTGTGGGTGTAGTGAGCAGAAGTACATTTCCCACTTCAGAGATGAATCACTGCACATCCAAATGACTGCCAGAAGTAGTTTATAGACTGCAAGCCTTTTAACCACCATTTTATATATATATAAAGAACATCCCCAGCACCTTGAAGGCTGCTGGGTCTGTCATCTCTCCAGATCGTTCTTAATCTCATCTCAATGCAGCGGACAAATGTCCGGTCAAGTTAACTGTCGGCCCAGGATACCTGCTGTTGCACACCTTCTGCGTTGTGAGCTTGTCAGCATGTCATATCTGAATATGAAAAAGTGCAGCTTCCATGGAAACGTCAGGTGCTTCCTTCTCTTGATGTCCCTTGTGAGTGCTAGGAAAATGATTCAGACCACAGGTGGTTTGGGCAGGTGCTATCATTTCTGCCTTCCTTTGAGAGACTTTGGTGCTCCTCAAAGTCTTTACCTCCACGATCATTTTTAAAGCTCTCATTCTTAATGCAAGGAGCTCTCTTTCTCCCTCCCTCCATCATTTAAGGGTCAGGAAATATGCAAGTTCTCCACTTTTCCCCCATTTGGTGCCTTTTCGGAACTCCACACTGAAAAACATTAGGATGGTTTTGTGTGTGTGTGTGTGTGTGTGTTTATCTCCGCTAGTTAAACTTCAGGCTTTCGGCAACATTTAATGTCTGCTTGTTTGATTCAGGAGGAACTCATTCTGTTAGATCCTGTCAACAGGTTTTCTGGTCTTTTGCCAGATCTCTTAATAGACTGATCTCGTGTAGGCAGAGCAAGTCATTGAGATTTTCATGTTATTGTTACTAAGGTTACCACCATTGATGCCATATATTTTGATTTATAGCTCTTCGGAACATATGCACCAAGCTAATGGCAATGGGTTTAACAACCAACTTTAATATCTTTGTAATGATGATGATATTGAAGTGGGAGAGAGCTTCTGCCTTTTAGGATCAACCACTAAGCATAAAGAAACTGGCAGACAAGAATTACGCTGCCAACGAGCACCGGGTAGCACAACAATAAAGGCCTTCAGAAAGATATTCTAATGCAGGGGTCTGCAACCTTGACAACTTTAAGACTTGTGGACTTCAGCTCCCAGAATTCCTCAGCCAGCATAGCAGGGGATGTTTCTCTCCGTTTCCTTAGAAGTGAAGGCTGGACTTTGACGAAGCACGTTAGAAAGTGTTTTGAACACCGATCTTGGGGAAGACTCCTGTCAATACCACGGACTGCCAAGGCAACAAACAAATGCACTGTAGAACAAATCAATCCAGCATTCTCACTGAAAGCACAAATGACTGTTGAAAGAAAAATTCTCATCAGGGTCGAGTCCAAGCTGGGAATAAACAACATGGAGACTGCTTTAGAAAGAAGGTTGTAGTTTATTGAAGAGCAGAGCCAGACAGAAAGATGGAAAAACTAGAAAAACTGACCACAGGGAGCAGAGTGGTGGGCGTTTATACCTTCTGGGGCTCTTGAGGTTGTTTCCTGTTGCTGTTTGAAGCTTTGTGTTTCCTGTGTCATGAACTTTGACCTGAGTCTGAGTGTGCCCTTTTGGTATTGGTGGGTTAAATCCTATTATGTCTCCTGTCCTTAGAATTTGGGTGGCAGTATGTATATTTTAGGTGTCTTTGTCTTCCTAATTTCTAGCTTCCTGGCCCCAACCTTCCTGAATGGATTATTTACATCTGCATTTCTACAGAGCTGGCCTCTGCTTGTGGGGAAGGAGACTTGCGGCTATTAAGAAAACTGGGCATGCTTTTCTGCCTTTTTAAGATTCTTTGAGGAAATATAATATTCTGCCTTTTTAATATTCCCTTCTCTGGAGGGGTGGCTGACTTTTCCACATGACCAAGCTCAAATGATCAACTGGCTGTGGAATTCTGGGAGTTGAAGTCCACCCCTTCTAAAGTTGCTGAAACAGCAGGATTGGACGCTCCTAGTATTCACTTCCACTCTATAGTTCACTGAGTGGATTTTATGATATTCCAGGCTTAGTTTTCACCAACTAAATCTGTGTCCATCTTTTCTGACAGCTCTTTTCGTAGTGGCCACTACAAAAGGAATTTCAGCTATAATGCATCACAATGGATGAGATGCTATTCTCCCTACCCCCTACTACAAACTTCTGCAGCTTTAGCAGAATTCCACCTCATGCTGAGTAGTGTAATGTGTTCCACAAGCCCAGAAGGACATCACAGAGTGCAGCTGATGCAGCAAAGACCTGATTATAGTCAGTGTTGTACATGAACAGCTGGAAACTAGAACTGGGTGGTATACCAAAGTGCCCTTTGATCTGGGAGATGGGGATGTTGCAGAACACGATCCTTTGGGATACCTTTTTGGGCAATCAGAATTGCAGAACAAAGAGCGCATCACTGTGTAAGCCATGGCTTGTTGCATTCAATGTCTTCAGCATATTGCATGAAGTCATTAACCAGAGTGTCTTAAGACACAATGGCTGGATTTGCACCACCATTTAATTAAACCCATTCCACTGCCGAATTAGTTGAGTGAAAATGGGCTAGATGCCGGTATGCTTATAATGTGAAACAGTACAATCAAAGTACATTAGAGTTTAGAGCAATTAATGCTTTTTTGCTTCGTATTTTGACTGACTTTCTTGGGTCAATCCCAAGAAAACCACTGGATACAGACATCATGCAAAGGCAAAAATTCCACTATTTTGATGCATGTTTCTCAACCTTGTCAACTTTAAGATGTGCAGACTCCAATGCCGCAGAATTTCCCAGCCAGCATAAGGATTCTGGGAATTGAAGTCCCAGTATATCTGGAAGATATCTGGTTCTCTGTTAATAATAAGTTAATAATACTGACCAGTAGGGAGCAATAGTGACTTGACCTAAAATATATTCAATCTCCATTAAACAATCAGGTCAGTTCTGACTCCTAGATGGAACCTCCATGTTCAGGAGCAGAATGCAAAAAATAAGGGCCCTGCTCAACAAGGAATGTGAAGCTTGAGAGATCCAAGAATTAGAGACAGGTAAAATATATGTTCTCCTGAATCAATAAGAAATTTCCCCTTCAAATGATGCCCCTTCAAAGATCCTTACAGGTCCTTAGATACAGTGAACTGCAGTGAACTACAATTAATTGGATTTTCCCATGGCATGTTGAACTCAGTCAACCATAAACCATGGCTACTTTGCTGTGAACTCAACCTTATTCAACACCAGTAAAAACAAAACTTCGGTATAGTGTGGAACTGATTCTACCTTGGAAATCTTTTTTAAAAATAGTGAGAAACATTTTGAATTGTGTTCTTGTCCCAAACTTCCATTGATGCAGAATGTAGTAGCCAGCCTACTGGTGTCTGAGAACTGCCAGGGCCATATAACATTGGTATAGAGCAGGGGTAGGTAACCTTGGCTCTTTTATGACTCGTGGACTTCAGCTCCCAGAATTCCTGAGCCAGCCGTGCTAAGGGGAAAAGGAGAGGTTTCCAAGCTGAGCCATGCTGGCTCAGGAATTCTGGGAGTTGAAGTCTACGAGTCGTAAAAGAGCCAAGGTTGCCTACCCCTGCTATAGAGGGTGCCACATTTTCTTCCAGTGGGTTCCCCAATAGAGTTTAAAGTATTACTTTAAACCAATAAAGGTCTTTATGACTTGGCATCTGAAGGATAACCTTCTTCAGGTAGACCCAACTCACCTAACTTGTAATCTTGAAAGGACCGGAATGAATATTAAACACGGAAGAGGGGGATAACAGCATGATTTTTGTCCAGGTATGCCCCAGTGTTAGAAAACAACTGAGATATTGGATATTCAACAGTGCCCTCTGACAGCCTTTCAGAGGGCAGTTAACAGCTGAGCTGTTCTTCAGAGCTTTTAATAAATAGGAAGTAAGGAAGATGTTCATGGGATGCAGGCTGCAGTAGGCTAGTGTTACATTTTTATGGATTTTGTGTAGCTTCGCGAAGTGAGAAGTGATCAATCTATGTCGAGTTGGTGGTATAAAAGTGCCACAAGCACATAAATAAACATACAGAGAACTGGTTATGAGAAAAAAGGCATGGGAAGGACACTAATATGTTGCTCCTTGACTCAAAACACAGTCTGTGATCTGCTTCTGTATCTCAGAATACTTCCAAATTCCTCTCTTGCAACGACAAACCCCAGAAATCAAAGTTTAATGTTATGTTTCTAAGAAGAGACATAGATGTCGTTCTCCGTATGAGATTTCTATTCACGTTTATTAACTTGGTAAGTTTTAGAGACCTCCACCAAAGGGATGCTTGTTCAATTAGGTCTCCAGCTTCTCACCCTGTTTTAGTTATCACATCTGTATTTCAGCTTTTTTTTTCCAAAGAAACTTAATAGAGTTTTAAATTAGGCTGTGCCATTCTGTCCCTATGTTACTCTAGAGATTTATTACACTGAAAGAGGAGGAGGAGGAGGAGGAGGAGGAGGAGGAGGAGGAAAAGAAGAATCACAGTGCTTGGGACTGTTTATTGTATATTGCATTCAAGTATAAATCATAAATCTCTGGCTGGCACATCGTTAACCATGATTTGGGCCACTATGAAAGTTACATTGGCAAGAAAATGCACCTGATTTAATTATTGGCAAGAGGACCTGTGGCCAAGAGGGATCACCTGGAGATGAAAATTACCAGGAATGTCCCACTCAAAAAAGAAATTTTGGCAGGATGGATGGGTGGGTGGAGAGCTGGCTACCTCCTAATGGCAAACTTGAAATGAGCACCAGGGACAGAAGCCTCGGTCTGTCCTTACGGAGCACTTTCTGCTGTGGAATTCAGGACTGTTCAAGGTAGACCCGTGTAAATTCATAGCGACATGCAGGTGGAAAATTCAGAAGGAAGCGCTATTATTCGATATGCTGGGCTACTTGCTCCGAAGCCGGAAGATTATCCTAAACTGAAGGTTTATATGATTTTATACCTGGGGCCAAAGAGGAAACTCTAGGGAACAGGGCATCAGGTGTCCTAGGGATGCTTTTTCCTGACCTGGTGCCTCCAGTTGTTTTGGACTTCAACTCAAAACAGAATCTTCAACCGATCTGGCTGAAGGATTCTGGGAATTAAATTCCAGTGCATCTGGAAGGACCTCGCTGGGGAAATCCGATAGCGTGAGCAATTTCCTCCCTTAGGAGTTTCACAAGCAACAATAATCCATAACACCCAAATCTATCAACTGTAGAACAATGTCAAAGAGTCCATTTGTGGAACTGAGGCATCGGCTTCACAGAAATAAATGATGGTGGTTTCCATTTCCTTCATCCACAACCCCTTGTGCACAAGGTGGACCTTCCCTTCTCCATCTTGCTGGAAAGCCAACAGTCCAATGCAGGGTCCTCAGTGTCACCCCCTTCCTTTTTTTTTTTCTTTTCTGAAGGAAAGGTTTCACAGCATACGAGAAACGGACATCATGAGGAAGTCTTCGTAGCTGATCCGCGCGTTGCCTGTCATGCCGGTATCCTTCTCCCGGAAAGCTTCGGTCATGCTCTGGAGGAGAGTGCAGATCTGGATGAAGCGGTCCAGCTGGATGCCAGGCGCGCAGCCCTTCTGTGCGTAACGGGACACCAGCAGCTGGGCGAACTGGGGGCTCAAACTGTACCCCATTTGGCAAAGAGCTAGAAGGGAAGCAATGGAAATGTGACGGAGGAAATCTCTCAAGTCTCTCCCCAGCAAGGCTGGGCTGAAATCAATCAAGTTGGCTCCCAAGTATTAAGATTTGGTTTTTTTCCCCTCTGATCAGTAATTCATCGCAGAAGAGCTCAGAAGCCATTAAGGAAGACTCCTAGTCACTGCTGGGAATCAAAAGTGAGCCCCTGCTTATAGGGAAATCAATGCTTGTATTTTTGCAGTTCTTTCTTCTGCCTGAACTCTGCAGTGGCCCAGATCAATCTCTCTTTTGGGGGAAGGTGGAAGCCTCATTGTCAGACTGCCTAGGACACAGGTAGGCAACCTTGGCTCTTTTAGGACTCGTGGACTTCAACTCCCAGAATTCCTGAGCCAGCCATGCTGAGGGGAAAGGGAGAGGTTTCCAAGCTGAGCCATGCTGGCTCAGGAATTCTGGGCGTTGAAGTCCACAAGTCATGAAGGGGCCAAAGTTTCCCCATGCTGGCTGAGGAATTGTGGGAGTTGAAGTCCATGAGTCATAAAAGAGCCAAGGTTGCCTACCCCTGGCCTAGGACCAATGGTTTCTGCCCATCCCAATAGAGCTGGCAAAAGTGGGCAAGCTCCAGGTCCTATCGATGAAGCAATGCCTCCGGTAGGCCCCAGGCAACAGAGTTTCTCTGTTATGGCACCTCCCCTCTTAAGATACCGACAACCCCCCAAGCCTATTAGCCTTTCAGAAGACAGGAAAGACTTCTACCTAGACACCGAGACTGGGATTTTGATCAAGCTCTGTTTGATACGTTAATAATGTAGTTTTTAGAATCCTTGAGACAGATCCTTCTGAACTGGATCTGTATCGTTTATTATGTTTTATTTCTGGGCAGTCTTGAGTAGATGGGAAGCTGTATCCACTTGTTAAATGAATAAACAAGTAATCTGTCTCATGTCTTAGCAAGATTGGATATCAGATGGTATTCCTCTGGCAAAGTGAGAACTAACTCTCACATAACTCAATCCCTAATAAAAAAA